ATAGTAGAGCGTTATTTGGATAAGAAGGTGTTGTAACATTTATCGCATTCCTGGCTAAGTACCGGATTTTTTTTCTCGAAATTGACTTTTCACGTGAATAAAACATTTCAAACATGTGGTATCCCTCTGCAGTTACCATGTGCTAATGAGGCAAAAATTTTGACTCGGTCTAGTCTAAACTCTCGTTAGCGTACATCTAGGCTCGACATTTTGGTTGCTCGCTTAAGGCAGGTTCGATAGCCTGCTAACAGGCTCCCGGTGAGCCCGTCGCGCTCGCCGAAATTTTTTTCCGTCCTCGCCGGGCCCCTGCCCCGATCGCTTCGCTTTCCGAATTCTTCTGTTTCGTACTCGCCGAAATGTTTTTCTGTCCTCGCCGGGAGCCTGTTTGCAGGCTACAGGTTCGACTGTATGTCTGTCGCGAGAGTGACATATATATCGGGAAATGGAACCGGATGTATTGCTTGATGGATTCTATTTCTAATAAAACACTTCTGTTCATATATCTGCTATGGGTTGTCATCGGGAAAGACCGAAGGAGCAATTGAGCTGTATTCGCCGGGCCCGTATGAGTAAGCCCTGTTCGGTAAAGTGTCCCCGGGTACGAAATGATGGCATGTCGAGGAAAAAGAAATAACAATATTAAATAAAAATATCCGCTATACAGTTAACCCACAACTACAAGACAAGACAATAATAAATTTGACTACTCCACATTATTTCAATTTTTCCATTTTGAATCATATTTCAGGCCTTGAGAAAAAATATTTCCATCTTAAGTAATGTCCAGTCGAATCGAGACTAGTTTCATGTAATGCAAAAGTGTAACCACACGCAGAGTATTCTGATAGTTGGTAATAGATTTACAACCGCCACACGTGGTGCACATGTACGAAACCGACTCGTCCTGGCAACAAGTAATATATTCTACACATTCTTCGCCACATTTCGTCATGCGTCCAACTGCTCAACTTTGTGTGAAGGCACCTGCCAAATGTTTCTGGAGAGTCGGCTTCAAAGTCCGCTTTGTTCCATTTAAGGAGGACCGGTCAACAGTAACTCGTACCTGCATACTTAACCCGTACTAATGCCATGTATTCACACTTCTCTTCTTCTCTTTGCTCTTTTATTTCTTACTCTGATCTTACTTACTATTAATCATCACTTCCTCTTAGTCTAAGACGCACTGCGATGTGAGCAAACTTGTTCCTGGAAGTTAAGTCCTCGTTTTGTCTTTGAAAAGTATGTACTACGATGCAATTGCTTTCGAAATAGAAAATGTAACAGGTTGGAGTCTCATGGAAGTCTTGGCGGCGGAAATGATGGAGAGTACTGAAACATCGGTTGTGATTGAGAGCACGAGGGGACCTGCAGATGAGGACATCAAAGACAATCCAGAAGAAATATCTACGGATGTTTCTACAGCATCAACAAAAACCGAGACAACGTCATCTACAGACGTTTCTGCAAAATCACAAGAAAGAGAGATACCATCTACGGAAGTCTCTGCTACAGCAGAGGAAACGTGGATGCCAATTACGGATGTATCTACAACATTAAGAGAACCGGATAGAATTTCAATTGAGGTTTCTTCAGCATCCGGAAAGCATGAGATGTCACCTGCTGTTGTTCCAGTAACGTCACCTGATGTTTCTAATGGAGCTATTGAGAAAGCACCCGCGATTGTTTCTACCGCTGTTTCTACGACATCGGACGAGCCGCAAACACGATCAACATTTGTTCCAACAACTGCATACGAGATCGGGATACCACCTTCTGACGCTTCTTCTACACCATTGCACAAACTAGAGGAAGTATCGACATCTTTTCCCGCAACTATACACGAAACAGAACTACCATTCATGGATATTTCTACGACATCAGACGAGCCCGAGGTGCTATCAACATTTCTCACTACAACTGCACACGAGGCTGAGTCAGTACCTTCCGACGCTTCCTCTACAACGTCTCAAAAACTAGAGGAAGTATCTCTACCTAATCCGGCAACTATATACGAAACAGAGCTACCGTTTATGGATGTTTCTACAACATCGACGGAACCCGAGACGCCGTCAACATTTGTTCCCACAACTGTGTACGAGGCAGGGTTACCAGTTTCCGACGCGTCTTCTACCTCATCAGAGGAAACGAGGATGCCTATTACAACATCAAAAGAACCAGACACAATTTCTATCCAAGTTTCTATAACACCAGGAAAGCATGAGACATCACCTATTGTTGTCACAGCAACATTACCGGATGTTTCCACAAGAGTTGTCCAGACAAAACCGTCTACTGTCCAGACGAAACAATACGAAACAGTTGTACGGCCTCCTGTCTTCCCTACTGGTTCGACAAAGCCTTCTCCCACTGCTGCTTTTAAGACAGAACCCGTCATTGAGGCTACTCGGTCGGAATTATTGACTGAGAGACCAAGTGAGGTTGGTGCTCAAGAGGGAGATAAGTGCAGAACTGGCACGCATGATTGCTCCTCTAATGGTAGATGTATACCGCTGGATGAGTCCTATGACTGCGAGTGTAACCAAGGGTTTGAAGGGGATGGAAGAATATGTGCAGGTATGATTATTTGTTTTGTTACTTTTTTTAATTTTCCCGTACCCACGTATACGTTGGAATAAGCCTCTATGTTTTTTTTTTAACGTAGAGCGACTCTTGCCCACAGAACTGTCTTTAAATCGCTTTGACCTGTTCTGTCCCAGGAAAATGCAAAAAGGCATAGAAAACAATATATTATTTTACAGCACATGCGTTAAATTGAGTCCTTGGTTGCGTTGGACATAACGAAAGCTCTGAATTGGGTTTTAACTGTTATTTTAGCACTTAAGAAACTCTTCACGTAGGTAAATAATAACCGCCTTTCTTCGCCCGTACGGAACCATGCACTGTAAACAGCAACATTTATACCACAAGCATGATAATCTGAGTTAATTGTCGGGGCCTGATGATCCTTCCGGGTTCCCCGAATTAGGCCCAGAATCTATATGAACCACGTCACTTTGTTGTATTTAAGAATTATTTTATCGTTCTGTAAAGTAATCACATTTTAAAGGGTGATTGTTTTTTCTTTATTTCCTGTTTTAGACATCAGTGAATGCGGGAATGGCTTCAACGATTGCCATGCAAACGCGACTTGCCACAATGTACCGGGGAGCTACTACTGTCAATGTAAGGAGGGATTTGTTGGAAACGGAAAACACTGTGAAGGTACAAATTTCATCATACCTCATACAACATCAGCACTCTAGGAAAAGCACAAGGTGCAATACTGCATAGTTAAGTGAAATGTAAGAATGCAAGGAGGATCTGACTGATACAATTTCTTGGTTACTTCTTGGTTTTCCCATTTATTGACATAAATAAGTGCTGGGTCATTCAGAGGTAAGACTCAGCAAAGCGGCATACATTTTGAACATATATTGCAGGGATAAGAGTTAAATTTAACAATTAGGTAACGAGCTCGAGATTTCTAGAGCGACTAATCTAACTGTTTTAGTATAAATCTACTAGTCGTTCAAAACTTTATCTCAGTCCTCTTCGCA